TTTTTATTTTATTTTTTTATTTTATTTTTTTATTTTATTTTTTTATTTTATTTTTTTTATTTTATTTTTTTTATTTTATTTTATTTTTTTATTTTATTTTATTTTATTTTTTTTATTTTATTTTTTTTATTTTTATTTTTCTTGAAATATGTTTAGACTGTTTCCTGAACTGATCTGAGGAAGTATGGGGAATTAGAGGATCTGTACTGGATCTGTATCAGCTGCTGGAAAATTGTTATGATTGAATGCCTGGAAAGTGTTAGGCAAGTGTTAGGGGCACGAGCCCCATCTCTGGAAATGACTGTGAAACTGTCATGTCTTTGGTTCTCATAATTTTTGAAACCTCATCTTCTGCTGTTCAGAAGTCACATGATCACAAACTTTAAGTCTGGAAGCCTGAGACCACTCATGTTCTTTCAGATGTCCCAGGTGCCCAGCAAGTTGTTAATTTACAGTAAATTTACACCACTAAGCTGCTGCTTTCTGTGGTCATCCCTTGCGGTCTTGTGTTAAAYCCAATAGAGAAGATAGACACAACTAGTTATAGTACCTGCACTCTAATAATAGCATCTTTGATGTACCTGGTTTTATCAGACATCTACAGTGTGATTTAAAGATTCAAAATAGTGTTTTTAAAGCTTTAATGTTTTTTCAAGGGGAAAATAGTAATGAAATTCATCTCATACAGATTTCTGTGCTTCTCCCTCTAATTCCCTCTTTCCACAGAAGTTATCTAARTGCTCKGTAYACCAMATAAAGGAACAGATATTTAATAATKAGTAGRATAGGAGAATGATGTGGGGAAAGAGCTAGTCAGCTAAGACAATTTTGCTTGCTACAAGCTGTCAAAATGGGAAAAGACTTTTTTTTCAAACTGAGGAGTGCTGACTACTTTCACCTGATTTAAGCTCATTCACTTTTGAATGGTCAAGCTGTATTGGCCCCAAAAGAAATATAACATAATACTCAAAGTGGAAGAAGTCACTGATTTCAGAGGAACTAGCCAAACGCCCATTAGTATCATGGCAAGCTTTTACAAGAATGTGAACTCAGTCTCACTTGGCTAAGATACCTTCTTTCTGTTTCTTTTCTGTTTCTTTGCTTCTGTATCACTTTTTACAGCCCATCAGTCACAGAGCAAAGGTGCAAGCTACACCTCGTGAGTAAGGAGGAGGAATGTAGCAAGTTCTGCTGGTGCAATGTTTGCAATAGAAAACATAAAAGACCTTCAGCTTCAAAACTTCTAGGGAAGATTGCTGTAGCTTAGACCCTCTCCCTCCTYGCCCCTCAATGTTCCTTTTCTTATATAGTTTCTGTTTTGTCTTATTTTGTCAGGTGTGGAGACAGATGTATAAATAAGTTTTAATCTTTACTTTTTTATGTTGTGTTTGTAAATGATATTTAATCCTCATTATGAAGTGAACAGTGACTTCTGAATTGGTCATGTACCTCATTTCTTTACCTTCTTTCTCTTAGCTAACTTCTAAATTATGTCCGCCCCCCCCAAAAAAAAAAGAAAAAAAAAAAAGGAAAGAAAAGAAAAGAAGCTCAAAGCAACATACAGTAAAACCAAATCCATTTTGAGATATTAATGGCATTAAAGATATTTAAGATGGCTAATATGGGYATGTAGAGAAATATTTCTCATGATAGATCTCTTTGAAGTGGTTGCTGAACCACTTTTTTTGTTTGCTGAGTCACTTTCTGTTATTTCTCTGGACGAATGTTTTTCAGCTGTTTTGCTTTTAATATGATTTGCTAACTTTGCAATCTGTAAATTTGTACATCCAAAGTATGTCCAAAATATTTGTACATCCAAAATATTGCTGTAGATAATGGTATACAGAATACCTGTATTGCAAGAGGCAGGATGTTTCATGTAAATTGACACATTCAAGCAGTAGAATTTATTGCCCTTTTTTTTTTAAGATTTAATTTTATTTTTATTAAATGCAAAATATAGTAAAAGGTGAAAGACAGAGGCTTCAAATGCATGGAAGTTGGAAAATACACATTTTTTTGTCTCTCAGTCAAGCTATTCAAACAGTCCAGTTGCTAACACCTCATTTCCYAAGTCTTACCACCTTTAAAATCAGGAGCTCTGCTGAAGAGAAAATACTGAGTTTTTAGGGTATCAAGAATGGTATCTGACACCTCATTTACTTSCAGGGTTCTTTGCAGAAATCTAGATGCAGATTCAGTGTGCACTGCTGGGGACTAAGCAGCTGGACTAGGCTTTTTTGGTCAGAATTATTAATCCAGGTAGAGCTTGATTTTTCAGTGTGGAGCTCAAGAATGGCAGAAGCCTGAGTCACAGGTACTCTTAATGACTCAATGCCCGAGCCTATAAACTATGAAGATGCTCTATTCTGTCCCTGTTATCTAAAAGCAGACTTGCGGTTTCATTTCTAAAGAAATAAAGCTGCTAAAGCTCAGCACGGGAATACTTTTTTACATGAAGCTATCTTATAATGTATATTGCAACACAGGATTTTAACACACAAGCACGGAGTAGGAAATCGGCTGATCAAAATGCAGTCTGTAAATCTCCCCCTATGGTATTTCTTATCCATTTAAGCTTTTGCTTTGTGAGTCGAATGTAGATACCAGGGCCGTCAACACTGCCACACTTGTTGACTTTTCCAAAAGCAGTGATGCCTCTCATCACACCTTTGCATATTAACGGTCCACCTGAATCTCCCTGGGAAAAAAACAAAAAAAGACATTGAAATTTGCTAAAGCTTAAAAATTCTTCTCTTAAATCTTGTTCCAGAAGAGAAAGGAAGAAGCAGAAATGTAGACAGTAACTTGTTTTGTTTTACTCCTTAGAAGGTAAGTTTTTCTACTACTAGCCAAAAGAAAGACTTAAGTCTGATTTTTGACGTGTGTATTATGTGGACTAAATCTGGATCACTGCTGAGGAATAGTTACATAGTGTTTCTGAACAGGAACAAGATGGTAACTTTCCTCATAAAAGACAAGAAGTTTTTGGAGATGTGAACCTCCTATATAACTCAGTTAAATCAGTATTTAAATCTTGTAAAAGTGCTGACATTCTTACACAGTTATTTGGCTTGCTTGGTATGCAGTTAAAACGCTWTTTATCAGAGAAAAGAAAAGAATGTTTCAAAGCCTTCTGACATTGGAGAAGTTCTTCAGTTCTGTTCCTTGAGAATTGACCAATTATAAGTTATTTTGTAGAAATTTTTCTATTAGCATCATTTTTGTGGAGGAAGGGAGTAGCTATCTGCCATGCTTGGAGAAAAGCACAAAATCTAGTCTGTGAAGCTGAACTTAGCAGTTTGAAGCTTTAATTTCATGGCTTTGATAAACCTTTGCTAAATTCACTCATTTTCAGTAAGTTCTACGTTGAACAGAAGATAGGCCGAAGCTAGAAGACTAAAAGCTAGTGTTTTATATTCTTAGTATTCTCTAGGTGAATTCTCTAGCAGCCAGTGAATATACTTACAGAACACGTGTCCTTTCCTCCTTTCCTATCGCCAGCACATATCATATTCTCTGTTATGACCGGTTTGCCTTTGTAATGCTTCGAGTCGTTGCATATTCTTCTGTTGATGACGGTGACATTGACTTCCCTTAGTGTACTAGAGGATTTGTTCCCATAATTACGAGTTTTCCCCCATCCTGCTACTGTACAAACTGTTCCTTCTTTGGGGTCATCCTCTGAGTTTGGCAATGGAATGAGTTTCACAGCTTTAGTAATTTTTGCTCTTTTTTTAAGCTGTAGAAGATACAGAAAATAGTTATTATAGAGATAAGATTAATAGAAATTCCTGCAATATTAATCACTGGATCTTTTCCATCAAGACAGTGGAAGATTGTTACATTCCCCCTCCTCATCCCCTGCCCCACACCACCCGTTTTTTTTTTTTTTTTTTTTTTTTTTTTTTTTTTTTTAAGAAATACTTCAATTGTTTGTAGCAAGATTTGTCTAATCAATGTGATCATGATGGAAGTAGAGAAATCTGTGTCCTTTGTCCCATGAAATGTTCTGTCCTTTGTCTATGGGGTTATTTAGTCTGGAGAAGAGGAGGCCCAGGGCAGATCTTACTGCTCCCTACAGCTACCTGAAAGGAGGTTGTAGTGAGGCAGAGGTCGGTCCCTTCTCCAAAATAACTACAGATAGAACAGGAGGAAATGGCCTCAAGTTGCCCGAGGGGAGGTTCAAGTTAGACATTAGGAAGAATTTCTACACAGAAATTGTAKTCAAGCATTGGATCAGGCTACCCAGGGAAGCAGTGGGGCAATGTTCAAGAAATGTGTAGACGAGGCACTTGGGGACACGGTTTAGCAGGCATAATGATCAAGGGTTTACAGTTGGACCCGATGATCTTAAAGATCTTTTCCAACCATAATGATTCTATGAAAACCCATTCAGTCTCTGCTGAAATGTTAGCTCTAAAAGCCCACCTGTTTATCTTCTCCAGCTCTAATAAGGGTGAATTTGAGCTTTTAGCTAGAACAAAATTTTTGTATTTCTAACATTCATATGCATTACAGGCATTATAATTTGAATGCCTTCGTCCTCAAGTCACACTGGGCTAGATTTGCAGACCAGACTGTCTCACGCAGGAAAGAGCCTCCAGAAATTCCCTTGACTCATCTTCTTTCCTCATAAGGAGAAAGAAGGTGTTTTATCACAGAAGATGCATATTCCTTAAGTGAGGTCTAAGTAAATTTATACCTGCAGGAGCATTATATCATTTTCTTCTTTATTACAAGAGTAGGGTGGGTAGGGAATATATTTTGCAATCTGAAAAACTTGTTTTTCTTTCTCTCTTCCTTGTATTGAATGAGCTCCAAGAATAACTTCGCTTCTTTTCCTAAGAAGAAAGACAATATGGTTAAYAGGAGTCACTTGCTGCAAGTTTGTAATTCCTTGCTGTTGAATATGGTACTATAAGAACCAGAYGCTACAGGACCTCCTGCCTTATGCCTGAAAAGCAAAAGTAAGTGAGAAAAATGTAAAAAATTGCCACAGTTTCACAAATAGTTCAACAAATTGAGTCACTGAGTGAAGATTCGTGGTGTTCTGTTTTCACCTTTCCAGGAGCACAGACAAGGCTCAAGCGCTTGGCTCTGAACTGACCCCTTTGGGAACCGAGTGGAAAGCAGCTGCCCCCTCTTTGCTGGTGGTGGTGATCTCAGAAGGGATGTCCCTCTGCCATTTATCCTGGAAGCCCAGGATAGCTGAAAAACCCCAGAATAGCTGACAGGACCACTCAGTCAGAAGTCATTGCATCTGCACCAAATTGTGCCATTGCTTTGCACTAACACCTGATAGAGTTTTCAACACTATTTTCTGAGGCCACATGAGATGCACCTCTCTTCCTCTCTGATGTTCTGCTTCATATATTCCCTAGACCTTTCCTCCCTAAATGGTGGTAAGAGTTATGCTTCTGGGGCTTTCTAGTATAGAAACCAAGAGTCTGCCTTCTTTGGTCAAGTAAGATGCCTCTTTATATCAGACAASAGATGTGGGAAAAATGAATGAGACTGGATGGGAGGATATTCTTTGAGCAGGTGTCTAGGATGGTACTTTAAAAAATTGTCTCTTACTGCAACAAGCCAAAACCTGGAGGATTCATTTTTTTTCGTTCAGCTATTAAGCTCTAACTATTGAATGAGCATCATTAAATTGTGGGAGTTTTTGAATTTTTTTTTGCTTTTTGTTTTTTCTCTCCTAACTGAGGTCTCATATAGCATCATTCTTCGCCTTGTGTTAATATTGCAGCTTTTGAGTCCTGTGCCCTCTCTGTAGCAGGCCTGGTATGTGCCCTGTTTGGATGGTGACGGGAGGAACTGCTACATTACTCTGACATCTGTGGAGTCCAGTGACTGACTGGGTCCAAAGGGCCGTTGACGGTGCCGGTGTGAGGTCGGGCTCAGCAGCAGCTCCAGGCCCTACAAGACAACGGGTGAGTTGTGTGATGCAACCCTCCCATCTGGCCTTGCTGGAGAAACGGGTCCAGGGCCAAGCAGCTGTTTGCATCTGGAGTCAGACAGGAAGAAGAAAGGCTGACTGGCAAGCTAACATAATCCTTTTTTACATTATTATTATTGCTAGTAGATGATAGATGTTTAGAAACTGCTATCTAGAGGATCTTTCCTCCCTTATATCTGCATGCTGTCTCATTCTGCAATGAAAGCCATGTTTTTATGTAATAAAATACCATGGATTTGGTTCTGTTTTCTGAGCAGCTAGATTATCCTGACGTCTGTTTGGTCAAGTGTACTGACTGAGGAAATGGGCATAAACCCTCAACTGACTCATTTGGTGTTGCTAGTCTGTACTTGCATGCAGATAGCAGCTTTCAAGTCTCTTCAGAGACACTGCAGAGAAAGACCGTGTTAAAGTATTTCCTAATCAGCAAATCAAAGTTGCCAATATGATCTTGAAACACACTAATCAGAACATAATCATGCCCATGTTAAATGCACAAAACCACCAGGAATATTAACTCTCCTTCTTGCAGAGAGATGCCAGATACCCACTAAGGGCATCCATGAATCTAATTCAGAACTTACATTTTGCAGTGAGCAGCTGTTAACACCCAGTTTTCTTTGATCAAAGCTCCTCCACAAAGATTTTGTCCATTTTTTTCTTTAATTAGAGCCATAAATGGTTTTGAATGAGGTATCACTTCTTTACCTCCAATAATATCCACACACAAACCTGAAAATAAAAATAAGTCACAATACACACAGCATGAATACTGTAAGAAACTTAAGTCTCTTWAAAAATAATATAATTATAAAGCATATAGATACCAAAGTATGTACATACAACACAATACTAGGCTTAATACTGACTTAATACTGCTCAGCATTACTTCTGTATTCTTCAGGAAGACAAAAATTACATTAGTGGTTTTAACTTCTGACAAAAGAAAACACCAGTGTGTTATTGCTCTTGCACAGATTTCTTTTCCTGACCTTCGCTGTCATAGTTAATTTCTCAGTTTTCATTGTGACTAAGAAACACCTGATCTGCCATCAGATAAGCACTGGGCAATGTGTGTCCTGTGTGCATGCCTGCAAATGGGGCTATTTAGAATAAGTCATATTAAATGAACATGTCTTTGAGGCAATGAAGAAAGAGAAGAGAAAGAGAGAAAAGGGAGAAAGAGTAGTACATGTGAATGTCTCTGTAGAGATGGATTTCTTTTTATCTGTATGGAAAGGCCATACATTCACATACACATACAGTCAATGCAAAGAACTAATAACAAGAACTCCAAAAATAATAGTGTGTGCCTTCTTTATGCTAATGCTTTTCTGCCTAACTCTGACTCTGCACATCACCATTTGCCAGCAAAAGGATCAAAAGGGGCACTTACCTCCAGGARTTATCAGGAGAATGACAGCAAAAGAGGTGGACAAAGCAAAGAAAGGCCCCATGGTTTCTGCCTGACTTCTCCCCTGTTCACTGTTTAATATATATCTAAATGTAAAGGATGTGGGTTTTTGCCTTTCCTCTTAAGGACATTTGACATTTCTAATTCTGAAAGAACAAAACCTCTTCTACGACATAGCTCGCAGCAGAGGTGTTATTGAGCAGTTGTGTTTTTGTGGTGTGAAGATAGGATCTGTCACCTCTCCTCCAGCCCCACCAGGTCCTCCATGCAGTGTTGCTCCAGTGAGCCCTGGCGTCAGCCACCCAACCTTGCGAGTCACTGCACCTCCAATTACACAGGAGCTCTCAGCCCATGTAATTTTGGTCTTGTTGGGGYTGTCCACATAGAGATTCCGGTTTTGGAACTCTAGGATAATCTGYATGGTCTCCAGCTCCTGGAGTGTACAAGTCTCTCATCAGCCCAGTGACAGATCACCAGCCCTGGCTCACAGGCCCCGGTGTCTGTAGTTTACGCTTACATATAACCACTGACATCTGCCTGGCCAATGTAGTCAAGGGATTCTGCAGAGGGATTTAGATCATCAGCTGCTCGGGATCTATCTAGGGGACCTGAATCCCGCTCAGGACTCTGCTGACCCTCTTAGTTGGATCTGCGCTGGTTGAAATTGGAAGAAGAAAATAAATGTGGAGCTATATTTACGGATAACAGAGCCCTTTGTGACTGCTTTGACCCATCAGAGACATTGTCATCTTCAATGTGGTAACAGGTCCATGCACCCCAGGTCATCCAAACATTTAATTTTACATCTATTTTCTTGCAATTAACAGCAAATTCACTGTGTGATATCACAGAAAAATACATTAGCATAGAAATGCAAATAGATTTAGCTCACTCTAATGAGAGTTGAGTTGTTGTTTTGAGAGTCCTCAAAGCATTTCAGTGAATTTGTGTCACTTCTACAAGGCTGCATGCTTTTGATAGAAAAAATACAGTATTAGGCAGGATGCTCCAGAAACACAGGCCACATTCAGYCTGTTCGGAGCAGGAATTTGTCATTAATCTTGTCTTTTATTAGRACTTGATTTCACACAACTTTGTAAGCCAGGCACTTAACAGAAGCAACAGCTATGGAAAACTTGATTGCGTGGTGCAAAGTATTCATAACCTCTGAAAGATAAACTCCAATGTGTGGAGGAAGTTGTTAGTTGGAGGATGGAGAGTAACTTGGTGGTAAGTTATCTTGGCTCATTTATCCTAAAAGAGAAGTGTTTTCTTCTAAAAGAACTTTGCAGGAGCTTTCTGAGAGATGAAATGTGAAGGTTTCACATGTTGCTAACTAGATTATAGTTAATAAGATTCTGCGCCATACAAATAAGCATTTCAGTGCTATAATATCCTTCAACAATCTGGAGAGYTGCTGTTCTCTAATTCTTTAATAAAAATGAAAGCTGGGTATATTGGGAGGGTAACAGTTCTGATTCTTTCTAAAGATATTTATGATTAGCAGGCTTTCTAATTTCACACAAAAGTCAAGCTGTTTTTTTGTAGTGGTTTACCAGCAAAGCAAACAGAAGGTGAGCAACACAGAGGTTAGCAATACAGAAATTTATCTCCCATTGCTGTGTCTTTTTTATTTGTGGCCAATAACTAGATATTTTATTTGCATTTGAAACTTATGTGGATGGAGCGGGGGGAGGTCCCTGCACCCCCCCCCCCCCCAAAATTATTGCTAAGAAAATGTAATGCTTAGAAATTTTCTTAGGTACTTGTCTTCTAATACAAGAATTGAATGAAGGAGTGCTGAAGTTCCTGATAGATTTAATGTTGTACATATACTGACACATATTGGGGACTCAAGAGATAGGCTGGTTTTAAAGAAAATGAGCTGCAGCTGAAGTTTTACAATATAATGATGGAAAATTCAAAGGAAGGTGCTATTCATCAAAACAGCCCACCACCACTCCTTGTGGGAGACATAGACACAGAAAAACTTGTATCGTAGTTTACAGCCTCATCACTAGAAAACAGCAGCTATAACAAGCCACCTGCTTGCTCTTCCATTCACTCTCACCACAGTAATCCTGCCCTGAAGAAGTAAGTAGCCCTTGTGGGACAAGACTTTCCCAATTGCTGATTTTCCTGCCTAATATGTAAATAACATAACTTCTGTTGCATTTCGTATGGCTGCACTGCCATTACTGTGGGGCACCCTGTGCTTTCACATTCCTGGCCTCTCACAGCTGTTACCTGAAAAGACCATTTAACTGTGTGTGGAGGAGCTCTTTTCTCAAAGAAATGGGTTTTGACATCAGTACCCTGTAAGTAAGTATTTGTGAAGTATTTTATGCTATGTCAGCTTTAACTCTTCACTGAAATGGGGCACAATGTGCAAGCTGTCAAGTAAAGCAAGCTGGGTATTGTTTTTTAAAAAGGATTTATGAAATCAAGATTTTTTTCACTAACTGATCTAAGAACTTGTCTTTCTGCTTTAAGCTGTTTTGTAAACTACTGCTCTGCACTGTGCACAGTCAGATCCTGCCAGTCTTACAGGATACAGAAGATGCTGATAAAAGTGACCAGTCTGGGCTGTTAAAAATTGAATGGGACTAAGACTAATTCCTCATCTGCTTGGYGTGTCAAATTTGAGCACCAAGCACTTCTTCAGGCGAGAAATCCCCCAACAGGATGCTGAAGAGCTGGCTCAGGGTAAGAGGGACATCTACTGTTCATGTCAGGAAATAAAATTCCTGCCTCTTGGCTAAAATCATTATTTTAGTTTGCAATTATTTTTATGTATTTTGAGTAAACTAAAGAAAAGAACAGACCAAAATCAATAGCAAGATGCCTGTGCAAGCCTGATATGTTCAAACACAGTGTGGGCAGCTGGGCCAGCCTTCCTCCACCCTGAAGAGGAGGAGAACTTGTCTCTTTTTGTCTTATTTTAGGTGGAACTAATTGCAACTCCTCTGCTGCTGAAACAGGTGTGGCTTTATTCATATGGGCTGGCCTCGAGCAGCAACCAAAGCAGTATCCATCTGGTCATCTTCAGCTTTGTGAGCCTGCTCCTGTCAGTGTGCTTCTCTGCCCACCCCTGTGCTATGTCTGAACTCTTCTAGGAGGTTCGATTGCAGCACATGTAACCTGTCTTGACTGTCCATAGCCACTTTTGAAGCCATTTTTATTTCACACAAAATAGCATGAATCCAGTGGTGTTAGCCTCCACGCAGGCTGCAGCCAGCCTGTCTCCTTTTTGTTTTGCCACGGTGGCTGATTACTTGGGTTTTCTGCAAGTTTGTGTCTTTTAGTRAACTGAAACGAAGAAAACAACTCTTTTTTGTTGGGCGGGGGATGTGAGGGAGGGAAATTATAAAGTGTACATTTTGAATTTAATAAGGTGGCCTTCATACAATGAGTCTGAGAGTCTAAGGATCAGGAAGCCATCAATATATGTTTTCTGGCAGTGTCCTCTTATTGGACTGCATTACRTTTAGCATGACAAAATGAAGAAAGGCAAGCTGTAATGAATTCTGATATTCAGAGAGCTTGGGGGAAAGGGAAGTTTAATGAGTTAGCTCTTCCCATCTATCGTCAGGATTTGGACTTGTAGCCAAACGATTTGGACCTTTGAATTTGATAGTCTCCCTTCCTAATATTCACTGTAGGAGTGTCTTAAGCTAGATAATGTCTATTCTTCTTCCTTGATGTGCTTTATTCTGATTTAATTAAGGACAAAATCTTATTATTCATGATGTCCACTTCAGCAGGGCGCTTCTTATATGCATAATGTTGAGCATGAGTATTGATGTGTGTGTTAACATCCCATTGATGTTGGTAGGACAACCTGTATGCTGTTAGTCAGGCATGTGTGGGTCTTTCTCAGGGTTAGGTCATATATCCACTAAAGTCCACAAAAAGATCATGTAAAGACATTAGTACCCACAATCTTTGTGCAAGGAACTCTCCCTATAAAGTCAGTAGTCAACTTTTTCTTAAAAGTAATTCAGGACATGTAGTCACCTGATGGTCCTCTATCACAGTATTATTTCACCAAATGAGATTTACATTAAAAAATTGTTATTTTGTACAGGAAATTATGAGTTCATTTGAAAACATCAAAATGAACAATATTTTTCCTATTTTAAAATAACATTGCCATAAAATGATTTTTTTGAGTTTTATGTTACATGATTTTTGATTATTTTTGGAGGTGTTGCTCAGTTCCAGTAGTGACCTTTTCTTCCTGGACTTTCTTCCAATTGCAGATTAAGAAAATCAGAAATTGGAGTTGTTCTTGGAGTTCATCGAGCATCCATAGCTGAAAAAGAACRTTTAAGGTTATATGCTGCTTTCCTAATCCCCAATTTAGCAAATCTTCCAAGGAAAATGATACAGTGCTCCTCAAGGTATTGTGTTAGCTGCTGTTATATTATTACAAAACGAATTTTGCTGATGATCATTTTGAATGTTCTYTGATACCAAAGAGTACATTGTTTTGATAGCTTAACAGTGTCACAGAATGCTCTGCTCTTGGTAGTGCTAATCTAGATGAGGTTAAAGGGTCACTGACACTCTAAGCAGGGATGACATTTCAYGTGTATTCTGTGCTCTATAACTCCTTTTAACCCTCTCATTGTGGCAACCTCTCTGAAAATCCCAAACCCCTTTGGTCCTTCTTCTTGGACCTTTCTCCAAGTGATGTATGCAATGGAGTCTAGGTCACAGATATATCCCAAAGGAATCCCTTGTGTTGGACCAGATAAAAATCCCCACTGTATCATTGGGTGTATTTAAAGCACAAGAATTTCTTGGATAAAAAAAATGCAGTTTATTTTTTGCCTCTCAAAAGTCTCTGAGGGACTCGGCTCCAAATCTATGGTGAGACAGCATGAAGAATGAGCAGATAGTCTAGTCTAGTCAGGGATTTCTGCTTAATGCTGTGTCGTTTTGTGTCAAAGAATATGATAATCAGTAGGAGAAAGAAATTACAAGAGAAAGGAAGTTGTGTATGGCATGTGGGTCACTGAGGCAACAGCTCAACAGGGTTTTTTAGTGTACCCTTTGGATTTGTACCATCTCAATTCTTCATATCCTTTCTTGAATCTGATGTGTTGGAGCCTGCAAGAGGAATTTAGATACTCAGAAAACAATTTACTGAAAAGGGATTTGGTCRAAAGTGGCAACAAGGGAAATTCCATGTAGAGAAAAGGTAGATGTTTTTCACGGTGAGGATGGGACTTTACAATCATGTATGATAGCATGTTGTGTGGAAYCTCCATTCTTGGAGATACTCAAAACTTAACTGGAGAAGCTTTGAACAGCCTGATCTGACTTCGAAGTTAGTGGTTTTGAGCAGGTGGTTGGACTGGATGACTGCCAGAGGTCCCTTCCAACTTAAATTATTCTGTGATTCTGTAAAGCTTTTGTCAGAGCACTTACCATTTCCACTTCCACAAAAATGTTATGGTTCTGTAATTGCTCTTTGTATAATAAGCTCTGAATATTTAAACTTCACGTTATACTTGGAATACAGCAATGCAGTTCTTAAAAGCATCACATCACATATTTCCTGTTGTGTAATTCACAGCTGTAGCCTTTTGGAGATTTGATCTGTTTATACGCTCAATTTCTAGTAATCCTTCGTCTTCAGAAGTCCTGGCTTACTTAAAAGCCACATATAAAATGTCTCTGAGGACCTCTCAAATTCCAGCTATTCCAACTAACCGAGAGCAATATAACAGGTTTCATTTTGGCTACAGCTTTTATTCCAGCAAAATGTCAGAGCTGTTCCAACTGCTTTCTCGTCTTGCACCTTCTAGGCTCATACAAGTGCTCTTCAGCATGCACTGCGTCTCTGAACTTCCATGAGCACCTTTGAGCAAATACAGCACAACCACRGGTAAGACCAGGTAAAAGCACAAGCAGTGAGTGATGCATGAGAAGGTGTCCAAAGGCCAGCTTTTTGGAGGGGATGGATGTTGACATCGCAGGGAGGGCTGTTCTGCAGCTTCTGGCCACCTACCCAAGGGAAATGAGAGGGGAATTTCTTTCCCACAACATGTGGACTTTTCGTCTTTCAGGGGACCTGCTCTGCAGAGATACCAGTTCTCACTGCACCCCTGGAGCAGTCTACCACATTTGGACAGCGTTTCATCTAGAGGAGTGATAGTTTCACTGAAGAATAGTCTGATTAATCTGATCTCCTTGCTGATCAGGACTGGAAAATTCCCTGCAATTCTGTATTTTCTTAACAACCACAAAAGTGCATATGGATGGATGACTATCCAACTATCTATGCAGTAGAGGGTAAGCCAAGTGCCGGGAAAGGATTAGTGTTGACTAAAYGAGGTGACCACCAATGTCACTCACCGTTGAAACCACACACCAGGCCAGCCCTCAAGAGGTCTGTGAGGGATCCCCTTTCATGTTTCTTCCCAGTTTCCAAATACTGGCYTCTCATATCAGACCAGTTTCCTTTCCCATTCATCTTTCCCTTCGCTTAAGACTTCTTTGTGGCTTAAAGAAATCCTGCCCCAGGAGACTTTCACYAGGGCCAGGCTCTCACCAACACCTCCACTTTGCAGCCTGGACTCTGCTGAGTGTTCTCCTTCCTCCAAGGCTTGTGACTATCTCTCATTTTGCTGACATCTTCCACAGAAGAGATGTTTCCTACAGAAGATGGGAAGTGCTGGGGAGTCTAGGCACTGAGGGGGCTGGCATGTCGCAGCCTCAGCTTAGCTCTGTGCCTCAGAGCAGGTCCTGCAACCTCGCCACCATGCCCTTGTGACTGGTGTTTTGTACTTGTTTGGGCTGATAGGAAAATATATATATATATATATATATATATATATATATATATATATAAACATACCAACTCAACATCTAGTTCTTGGTACAGAGAGTGGTATTGTCTAGAGTCAACAAATTGTGTTGTGATGTCTTTTTTCTTGCAAGAACAGCGATTAATTTGGAGTGAGGATTGCAGCCACAGCTCCCCAAAGTCAAAGCCTTTCTTTTATCCCCTGGCTGCAGCACCGCTCGCTTGCCTAGTAATTGGTAACAGAAACCTTCCTTTTGGGCAACTCAGTCTGGCATCAGGAGGAAACATTTAGAGAACAGCATTTAAAAACAAACACAGCCATTAGATTGTCAAGATAATTTTCTTGGATGCTTACCAAGGAGAATTAAAGATAGACTCAGAGGACTTTTTCAAAGGCTGAGTAGGTCAATTCACCGTCAGCTGAGAAATTACAGTAAGTGTTTTGAACACGTCTGAAACATGTTTTTTAATTCTGATTCACCACTTTCAAAAGTTTATCTTTTAATCATATTAATCATTTAGTTTAATTTTATCATTCTTCATGATTCATTTATCGTGATTATCACTTAATCTCATTTTATCTGGCAGATGACTTAGATGCCATTCTTAGATCCATTCCACTAACTTCTCAATAATTAGTTTATTTATTGGATTAATTGGATTGATTAGTAATTGATCCTTAGCAGACTTCRAGTAGGTTACATTTAGTTGTAATTAAATCAAACAGGGCATAGCTTGCTTCGAAGCCTGTGAAATCAGCTGTGAAATGTGAATTCAATCAGCCACCAGTTTTACTTCATATGATTGTGTCTAAAGGCTGTACSAATGCCCACATCTTCATCACAACAAAGAACAAATCACGTTAGAAAGGTGAGCAAAAAAAGCCCATATTTTAAAGAAAGGTAAACCAGAAGCTTGCAACAACTGGCCGTTTCCAAAGGCTCAGATGTGGTTCACTACATAGCTCATGGAGTTTCACAAGGTTGACTTTTATGTGCCGTTGCTTGTAAAAGCTAAGAACCTTTGTGCTATTAACACACACTCACAAAGCCCTTGTTGCAATAAATTATTAAGCTTTTTGCAGCCACATGATATTTAAAAATAAGCAATAATTAAAACAATGACAAGATCAGTAAATGAAAAAAAAAAACATTTCTTTAATCATTCAACAGCTACTTTCATGAAAAAAGCAATATTAGTCATGAGTTGATAATTAACCATTTCAATTTAAATGACTGAATGGCATATAGTTGTTAGCTTGGGTTCTTTGGTTGTCTTTAAACCCCATAGAGAACATTGCTWATCAAGATGTCGTGCCCAGCTTTCCTGGAACATCTGCATCTCATGCGCGTAGTCAACAGAGTCAACTAGTTGGCATTGTCATAGTTGACATTGTCATAGTTGACACTGACAGAGCTATGACTACCGTCATAGTTTAAGCCACATCCCCTTGGCCCCCCTTGGTACCAGATAAAATATGAATAAAATATTAGCTCCAATAGTATGGCTTCACTCATCGAAGTCTAGGGCCGGTGCTCCCATGTCAAAGGCTGCAGTCCTGCCCTAGTGCTGGTCTTAGCAGAGCACAAGTGGTAGGTGACCATGCCAAGCCCTGGCATTAGGACATGTGGTTGGAGCACACTGGAGACCTCTAAACATGCTGCACTGGGGAGATACGGGCAAATTTTGGTTGTGGAGGATAGACTTACTTGTTTACTACTGATGCTCTATAAAATAAAAAAAAATATATATTTTTCATTTTGTAAAATAGAACAAGTCACTACAACAATGACTTGAGATCCTATTGCCCGATTTGGGGTAAAGTAGCATTTTGGGATCTGTATCAGGGAATAATTTGTGTGCCACAGCTTCAACAGCTGTTTTCTACCATAAACAATCTCTTCTTGGCTGACCTTCCCCTGAGTCGCCTTTTCAGCTACTCGATAGGCAGGATGTGTCAACCTGCATTTAACCATGRATACTCCCTGCCCATTGCCCTGTAGGGCAACCCCTGCCAAGCTGAGAGGATTTCTCATCTAGCGTGGGAGCAATCTGTASAGAACACTCAATGTTAAGCACTAACTATTTGATTTTAGTTAAATCGTCTCAGAAAGTCTGTCTTGCTGTGAACTATTGCATCTTAAAGACTCTGCTTCCTAAAGGGTCTGTTCTGTGAGGGACAGGAAGCATCTAAAATCAAGCAAGGTCGTGGGATCAAACACAGAGAAAGAGAAGGAAAAATATCGATATGGAGAACTCACATAATCGGTCTSTCAGATCCATCTTTTGGCAAATAAAGCTCCAGCCTTGTATCATTTCATCAAATTAACTTTTATTTCAGATATTTCTCTTAAAGGATTAGATTTCTGGGCATTTGATTAAATGACTGAAAACTAACATCAAGCTTTTAATCAAGCACCTGAGGTTGATCTTTGAATAACAAAGACAAGCAGTAGAACTCACCATATTTTATTTAATTCTCTCAGATGTGYTGAACTGATATAATTGCATATGAATTATCTAATTTTTGAGAAGTGCCACTTAAAGTGGCATTCATCTATTCTCACATAATTTACATACTGTTGAATATTAGTTGCAATAGGTCAATGTGTGTGTATTTACTATTTTTAAYGAGGGAAGAAAATTTCCATTTCAATTAGAAAAAATTACTTGCAGCTTTGGATTCAAAATTTGTTGCATATAATCAACGAGGTTAAAAAACAATCCTCCATTGCTTAAATCYAACTTTATGCACAAATATAACAAGTTTTAGTTAATCCCCAGTGTGCTCAGGTCTCTCTAAAGCAAGGCACAAGGCATTTTTTTTTCTGAATAAGGACACAAGATTGTGTTCTGCATTAGTAACATTGCTCAGATTATAAGAGTGCTTTACTTCTAGCTATGTAAGAAGAATGTAGAAAATACTGAGATATACGCTAAAAAAAGAGTTTTAAAAAGACTTTGAAGTGATTTGGCTTTTCCTTTTTTCTTTATTTTTCTTTTTTTAGAATCATGCCTTAATGCTAAGCTGTCTTGCAGTTTTGTTGTTTAATGAAAAACAAACTTAGCACAGGCAACACGCAGCTGTTACCCCTCACTGCTGTCTAATTAGATCTTGTTTGCAAGCATTCTTTCCCTTACTTTGAATGAAACACACACACACACAAAAGCTTTGAACTGGCTTTGGTTTCTTTGCAGCAGAAGAGATCATAACACATTGCAAACATCGTGTGAAATCGTGCCCCACTGAAATAAGTGACAAACCAGCTATTTATTCAGTGGAGTCTGTGTTCATCCACAATGTGTGCGCTTCCCCTCAAAGAAAGCTAATGAAAAATATATTCAAGTATTTGAATATACAGACATATGTCTAATGAAGCAAAGGACAAAGGAAGCGTGTGCACATGTGAAAGTCCTGTTAATTCCAAACAAATGGACCTCTTGCACAGCATGGTGCTTGATCCCGCTGAGCACATTTTTCTGGGAGACCTTGACTGCTTTGTGGGCAATGCCAAGGATATCCTAGCAGCTGGGATGCCTTGTGCATGGAAACTGAGGTGTTCGCTCAGCTCACATCCAAACCTGCTCACTGAACTGCATATCAGTTGTGTCCAGCATGGAAATGCCCATAGACCAACTGCAAAAATCTCCTTCCTGAAGAAGGCTCTGCAGCAGCTGGTGCAAAGTCTCCAAGAGGCTTCGATCCAGATAAGACATGATGGATGGAGTGGGAGGATAGTGAGCAAGAGAAAGCAGTGCGGATGGGCTGGGTGCAATTCTTCATGCACCAGGCTGCTTTTTGGGGTATTTTTTGTGGGCATAAGTATACTGTGAGAAGTGAGATGCATGAAAATGAAAGCAGAGAGAGAACACAGTTAAACCAAAAAGACAAAAATGTCAGGGTTGAAGAAAAACAGGATAATGGAGATTAAGGCTGAGGTGAAGAGACTGTGTGGCAAAGAGAGGAAGGGATGAAAACAGCCTCTTGTTCCAAGTAAAGAAAATGCATGTAGCACYGCAGATAATGCTTGTCTGCTCCCCTCAGTGCCCTTCTGCTTTCAGCCTTTGGCTGACTCTTCCCTGGAGTTTTATTACCAAGGAGATGCTGAAGTCCTCCTAGGACCTTGCCGGTATCATGTAATTATTCTGGGAATTGTTTAGATTTCAAAGAGTAAAGGGTACTTAAGGAAAGAAAGATTGATTTCTTCTTAAATAAATACAGCGATTGATAAGAATTTGAACATTTTGTATACCTAAATGATTTAGTTCAGATTGTTTTTCTTTGCCAATGGAAAGGTTCTTATCCTGATAACATCACAAAGAACACAGGGAAATATTATCTTTTGATGACACCTATCCCTGATGCAGACAAATAATAATATTTCACACATATGATCACAGAATTTCTGGTTAGCATCCTATGGAGTGTGGTAAGAGCTCAACTTTAATATCTTTGTCATTCATTACAGGAAATAGCTTCTTAGTGAAGTCTAAAGTATACATAAAACACAGCTAAAACATTTCTCAAATTTTGTAAGAGCATAACAAATTTTACTTACCTCCACATTTTCTAAAACATGCTTTGGTGGAGAAGACTAGAAATCATAGTAGTGTTTGAAGTGTAGCTGCACTCCAAAAAGTGTCTGTAGTAAAGACATATTTTTCCCCTATGTCCCATGCAGATCAAAATCTGATTGGGTTCTGAGCAAAAGGACCCTTCCAGTGATACTCTYTTCAATAAAACATAAAAATATTTTATTCCTTTTTTTTTTTTAATTCCAATTGACAGCATAGACTTCAACAATAAAGAAATTAAGGTGTATTCCTACATCAGTTAATTGTATCAAATGGAGAGATGCAAAATATCTTTCAGGTTGTGTTATCATTAACACTGAATATCCTTTGGTCAGAATATTTGCACCAGAGCATTTAAGAGCATGTAAAGAGCCATCATTCACATATTGTTTCATGTAAAGAGCCATCATTCACATAATATTTGCCTTTATTGATAAAGAAGCTGAATATTAGACAGTCATAGCAGAAAGACATTTTTAGCAGGTGCCTGAAAATCATTGCCTGTGTAAAATAGTGTAGATTTTTTTTTTCTGTATGGGAAAGGCTTTTTCCTGGGTGAACCTGAAGTGTCTTCTATCTTGACTGGCTTGTTTTAAATTACTGGGAGCAAGAGGTCTCACCAAAGAAACAGCTACTGGCAGAGCTATTGATGAGGTGGTGGGAAGTGACAGAGAAGTGTTGGTTTGGGTTGTGAGTCACAGAATCACAGAACCATTGAGGTTAGAAGGGACCTCTAGACATCATCTAGTCCAAGTCTTTGATCACAGAGTCATAGAACTTGATCTTTGAGTCTTTGGACAAGCTGAGCTTTAGAAGGTAAATTTTCTGAGCTTAGAGAAGTAAGTTTTCCAAAGAAGGGAGAATATATGTGACTTTCTTGTACTTTTAAGAAACTTTTTTTTACATGTTTCAGACAAAGTACTGAAACTTTCTGCAGATAACCCCATAATATCCCCTCATTTCTATGGCCGCTGCAGAGGTGTGCAGGTAGGTACAGACCTGCCCTATTCTGTGCAGGTCACCTTGTCTGCCTGCAGAAAGGATGTAAATACATCTTACCCTCAGCAGTAGGAAATGCCCGAAAGCATCTATTTTTACCAAGAAAATGTTGACTTGTTGCGGTACAGTCGAAACAAAGAGTAGTTAGCAACTCATTGAAAAGATACAAGAAAAGAAATCATACAAAGGGGAGTCCTTGCTGCTATCTTGCTTTCCTGATTCTTTTACTTCCTATTTCTGGCTTTTCATTTTGGACTTTGCAGCTCAGTTTCCTTTCGGTGCTTCCCTTTGAATCCTTGCTTCTCAAACAGCATTGTGCTTACAGCTTTWTGTAAAGGAAGCCTGTGGAAAGGTTGGATGGTTCAGGAATGTATGGCAACGTATTTTTAGTTTAGGGACTGCCTTTTGGAAATTAACAGCAAGGGTCATGATTTAAACCTTTTCCAATGCTTGAAGAGATATTAATGTTTTCTGCTTATACTGAAATGTTCAAAAGACTGGAAAACTACAGTGGTTCAAATGTTTAGTACAGAAAAATCAAACTGAATGATATTCTGTCCACCTGAAGAATGAAATAAGCAAGGCTGGGAATCTTGGCCTAATGAATAGCCTACTCCTCCTATGTATCAGCCACAGATTAATTATGTACCAGGAGGCATCTCATTTCATGGTGAGCTTTAAAAGATGGGGCAAACCTTTCAGATGAGTTATATGCAAGCTGGAGACCTCACGTAAACTGCTTTCTGYTTGAGAAGAGGGTTATTTGCAGAAGAACTTAGGAAAATTGTGCTCCGGTGTATCCAGCTGGGTGCACAGTTGRTCACTTCCAAAGCAATGATTGCTCAATTCATTGTGAAGTGCTAACATGAGAGTTGAAACCTTTTCTGCTTCCAGAAAGAATACCAGACATTATATATGGTGATGTAATTATGAGGTAAACTAGCACCATGGCAATTTATACTGTAAATTAAAAAGAAAAAAGTTATTGTAGCACTGATCTGATCTGATCTGCTCCAGAAAATCTTCCACATTTAAAGTGTATTTACTGTAAGCTAAATAATGGTGCCAGGTTTTCTGCTGTTGATAGCTGGAGAAGCTTCATTAACTCCCATTGCACCAATTTTCAAGGGACAGTTCAGTTCATGGCTTTACAGGACCWAGCTGTTCACTGGAAAGAAAAACGTAATGGATTCAACAGGTAAAACAACAAAGAAATATTAAAACCAGAGGGAATGAACGCTGGATTTATTTCATTACTCAATCAGTGGACAGTGTGGAAGGCCATATTTTCATTATTTCCTCCAGTGATACTCATGGATAAGCCAGACCTCTATCTGTTCATGATGTTTTCTTCCATTCCATGTATTTCTTGATCCATTGTAATAATTTACTTTGGCTTCTAGCTCCAAGCACAGAATGCAGTTTCCATTTTATTCCAAATAATATTGGCTTGTTGCTAGGGGAGTGTGCTGATTTCTTTTACGATTTCTTTTCCTCACCACATCTGCATGTAATTTTTTATTTATCATCTCCCTAGCACATTTTCCCTGTGAGAAGCTGAAGTGTGAAATACAGTCCTTTCAAATCTTGCTTGGTGTTTTAAACAAGGAGCATTTCCTAGTTATATTTATACACAAGGACTTCATGAGTGTGGTTTTACTGCCAGGTGTAAATGTCTATGAGCATATTGGGATGGATCTGTGCCCTTTTCTCTTATCTCCTCTGCCTGAGTAAGCTGGTATGAATGAACTGAGCGAGTAAAGTGGGATCTTCTCACTCCTCATTACTCTGAACCAACCTGCTGCATTAAGTAACCTGCTTCTTTGGGTTATTTCATCCTTGGAAGCAGATTTAGCCGGGGGACTGAAGGATTCCTGCCCTTAGCTGTGCTCCTGGGCATTTAGCATTTCTCCCCTATGGAGGGACTGAGCCTTGGACTTTGCAGAGGCTCCTCAGCCAGCGCAGGTTGCAGTCTGACCTCTTAGTGTAAACCAACGGCAATTTTAGATGGTGTCAATGCCAAATGAAATGAACAGTAGTTTATATCTGTCTGCTGAGCTGTGAACTCTGAGGCTGTTCTTGCAGACATTGGGTTGGGTTTTTTGGAAAACAGGCCTTTGCCACGTTGTGACTGTGATGGATCAGCGATAGCACATCCATTTCCAATTTATCTGCTCAGTAGAACCTTGCACTTTTGTTCTTCTTTGTTTTTCAGTTGAGATCTTCAATACCACACTTGACCTACTCCTTTCCCGTCCCGGAGGATGGCTGCGCTGCTGCAGGAGGTGAGGTTGTCTATGGCTGTTAGTTGCTCGCATTTCATGCCTGTCAGTAGAGCCATGCCAGCTTATACCAGTGGAGATTTCAACTCTAGTGCTGTAATTTTTCCCCTTTATATTCCCTGACTACAGTTTGGAATTACACRTAAAACCAAGTAGGTTAAGCAACTGCCAGTTGCCAACTGTGATTAAAAGAAATGTTTTTGGTGTAACTATGTACTATTTTAAGTGCATTGCATTTAAATGCATTGCCTGCAAATACTTGCCATGGTGTGGGTCTCCCTTTGGCATATGTTAAAGAGGTTTCCTATCCTGTGCTCTCCTGTCCTGCTTAGGTTCCGATATTCACATTTCTAGAAGTAAATGAACATCTTGAAATGCAACATGCAATGTATTGGTTTTCTTATGCTCTTCCCAAAAGAGATGAGCTAAATATATTGCCTGGGATCTATCCTCATGTTTAGACTCATGAAGAAGAGGCTTTCCTGGTCTCTTGCATCAGCAGCACAGCCCTTCATTTTATTTGCCAGCCTCCTGGCAGTGTCCTCGGCCTGCTGGGACAAAGGCTTCCCAAATGGCAAGGTGGCCACAGATTTAGATCTTGATTGTTCTCATTATCTTTGCTGAAAGAAACTTTTTGCATTCAGAAACATATTCGTGTTATCTTTATTCTTTCTTCCCTTTCTTGGAGATTTTTCTTTAGAGTAGAAATTTCGATCTCTGTTGGGGCTCATCTGTTTTGCTGAACTCTTACGTTGTTTGGTGTTTCTTGTCAGGGCTCTGTCAGGGTGAATAAAGCCTTAGTTGAGCGGAAAGGAAAACAGAGCCTTATTTTTTGTTTATTTACTCTGGTTTCATTCAAGAGTAGCCTAAGTGCAGCCCACAGGCTTTGATGAGTAAAGAAGTGGTGTAAACAGGAGGAGAATGGGTTCCTCTAGATGCCTGTTTGGCCTGTGCTGACAGTGCCGGTGACGGATGGGGTTTCCCCCTTTGGTTGTGAGGTCAGGGGTATCTCATGGATCATTTTCCTCAACTTCCTGCGGAAGATGCTGTTTTCTGTCTGACCTGCTTCTAGTCCTGGCAATAATCTTTGAGTGAAATGTTTAACTCACCTCCACCTAAACACTGATTAAAAAGTACCCTTTCAATGCATGCAAGAAAAGACTCTGCTAAAACATCTGAGCTCTCATGCTCGTTAAATGGCGCGATCTTTGTTCTTCAGCGTGACTGTCTGCTTCCCCTCTGAGGGCTATGCAAAGATTTCCTAAAAAATAGAAATCTTTTAGCAGTGATATGATTCAATGTGATTTTCTTCCCAGCTGTAGGAGCTGCGTTTTACAAGTAGAGCTGTTCTGTCAGCAGTGTGCCCAATGTCAGAGCAAGCCCTGTCCTGACGGGAGGTATGTAACCTACTGGGTTCTTTTTGGTTGCGTGGGTTTTTTTTTTTCCTTTCTTTTTTGTTTTCTTTTTTTCCTTTTGGCAGACGTCCTTGAGCATTTGAGACGGATGTGAGAGAGTTTTTAGTGTTCATGCAAAACAACCAACTAAACATAACAGATTACATCAGCTCGGGCTTTTCAATTCCTGGATGGCAGCAGAGTGCTAATCCAACCTTCATCCTGGATTTCACGAACTGAAGCGAGGGAGGCTGGCAGGAGCAGCGCTGCCGGATTGAGGAAGCTGACGACGGAGCAGCCTGTGGGCAACACACCGTATAAAGCTCATAAACCTGTAGGCTGATGTGCACGGCTCCCACCTTGGCTTGCGTACCGCTGCCTCCCGCCGCCGCAGGCGCCGYGCCGAGCGCCGAAACCCGCGCGTGGGGACGGAGCGCTTATCCCCGCACGACATGAAGGGCTTCCTGGTGCTCACCCTCCTGCTGCTGCCTGTGCACGCTGGAACTGCTTGGAGTGCCAAATACGCGGTGGATTGTCCCGAGCCCTGTGACAGCAACGCGTGCAAAAGTACCTTGCGCTGTAAGCGAACGGTGCTGGATGACTGTGGCTGCTGCAGGGTGTGTGCGGCTGCTCTGGGGGAGACTTGCTATCGTACGGTCTCGGGTATGGATGGTGTCAAGTGTGGTCCTGGGCTGAAGTGCCAGTTTTACACTGAGGAGGATGACTTTGGTGATGAATTTGGTATCTGCAAAGGTAACAATATTCGCTTTGCATGCACCCACTGCGGCAGTTTGACAGCAGCCTGCGTAGAGAGCTTGCCTCCTGCTTGAAGGGGCTGAAATGGGGTTTTTCTAGCTCAGCCCTTAGCCTGGGAGAAAGCAAATAATACCTGCTGATGTTAAAAGATGTTCCATGTAGGTGGGACCGTGGTAATTAATGTGAGAATATTGTTTAACCATTCATTAAAGAAATGAATGAATGAATAGAAGCTAAGATTTTTGACTGAGACTTTGGAGACACAGGCACTAGTGTTGATCCTTCCACCGATTTGGTGGGCGAGATAAGAGAGCTGCCGGACCTCCTGGGGACACAGTCCTGTTTGGTTCATTCCTGACCGTGCGATGCTCAGCGGCGGTCGGCATGTGGTCGGGCAGGCAAGGCAGGGCTCTCCTGTGTGCAGAACAGAGTAAAAGTCCCGGAGCTGACAGGGAGGGGAGCGGGGAGCCACTGCTCTCACATCACACCGGCTTTGCTGCGTGCCCCTTTACTCACAGCCCTTAAGGGCAGGTTTCGGGTGGGAGCAGTTCTCGCCTGGTTAGGAAGGCACTTCTCGTAGAGAAGGAATAAAAAGACACGGAGGTAGGAGGAAAGTTTTCAAAATTCGTGATTGCAGTGAGTTTTCCTGGGTACCACTTCAGTAAGTAGGTACCTCTGCCTCTGCATAACTTCCTTAGAAATGCAGAAATCTCAACAGTTAATTTTTAGAATTATTAATAACTTTCATTAAGGGAATGGCTTAGAGATAGATGCAGCAGAAAGCATTCCGGTTGACTCACATAGAAGACAAATTTAGTTACATTGCAATATAAATCACATAAATTCATGTGCGTATTTGAAGGTGAAACACAAAATATCCCGTTTTTTTTTCAAAGTCCAGAATTTATGCCTCAAATTCATACCTTTAAAATTCATGCCATCAGCAAAAACTCTGTTACTGAGTAAGCTGAATGGCCATCAATTTATTGAAAGTATTGCAGTGTGGAGTATCAGTTATAATTCCTTTATTATTTCCTTAGACAAATATATATTTTCACTATTCTCATAGAAATTTCTTTGCAACGGCAAGCTTAAAATGGGAAGACAGATACACTGAGGGACATAAAATCTCAATCTCTCCTAGAAGCTCTGCAGAAAATATTAAGGAAATACCAAGTAAAATCTTTTTCCCAATGAGTCAATGGACAAGCTCATTAATTTCAGTAAAGCYATATTTTGACTTTGAATTCTAAATTGATATTAGATTGAATTGATAAATTGATATATCTTCTATTTTCCACAGATTTATTTGAACTAATCTTATAGATCATTTTTATATCTTTTTTTTCTTTTTCTATCTCAGCTCTGAGTATAATCTTATGTACATATTTGAATTTTTCAGGCAAAATTTGGAGCCAATATAGTTATTTATCTAGCCATATATAGATATGATGCTGGGTCACTCATTTGTTTTAATAACTTACAAATTTGTGCTAAATCGTGAAGCAAGGATGGCTAGACTGTCTTGAACTGTGTATGACTAACCTGCTTTAAAGTTGCAGACAAATGATTGAACTCTTGTTACTCTATTTCTTACTACTGAAATGGGTAAAATATGCACAGTATTTTATTTTATTTATTTCAGAGCACTTTGCTGAGCATTACTTACTTCACATTCTTGATATTTTTATCTCAACAGTTTTAAAGGAGTGGATCAGATTATTATATTGTAGTTGTTATAATCAGGAGCTATGTTGTTATTGTCCAGAACAGACTTGGGCAAACTGATGCTCTACACTTTTATTGGGAAATTCCCTCTTCAGGTATTTCTGCCGCAGCAAGAACCTGCTCTCGAGTCCCTCACATCACAGGGAGTTACCTGAGATGGGTTTCCTGCTGCACATCTCTTGCTGGCAGCAGAGCCGGCTCTCATCCCTCGGTTTTAGCAGGTCTGCGGAGCCCTGCCGAGCCCGGGGTGATTCCGATGGGGAACCAAGCGCCGCTGGAGTCGGGCTGGTTTCCCCCAGGCTCTGCAGGGCCCCTTGCTGAGCGCCCCGAGCTCTCGCTGAGGCGACGTGGCCCCGTGTGCCAGCCCGAGGGGAGGAGGCTGCACCACAAACTGCTCTGTTTTGGCAGCATTCTGTGTCTGTTTTACCTGGGTGAACAGCAGATCAAAGAGTGCCCTTGTTTGAGACAGGGAACATAGTGAAGCTCAGCAAGGTCCTCCAGGCTGCAGGAGATGTCCCTCTGTGTCCCCAGGAAAGTCCAGGAGGATTTTCCAAAGCTTTTTGTGCCCTCTTTAGAAGGAATTCTCACCTCTGAAGGTGAGACCTTCGCTGTCTGCCATGGCAAGGTGACACTTTGCTGTGGGAGAAGCCAGCCACGTTCCCCGAGATCCAGYGGCAGATTTCTGCCTCGCTCGGCCCTGGCTTCCCGAGGCCGGATGGCCGTTTGCCACCCTGGATAGCTCCTCAGGGCTGGAGCCGGCAGGCACGGGGCGCCTATAGGAAGTGTCGTTCCTGTAAAGAGCCCGGCGGTGTCTGAACAAGCCTCACACGAGCACTCCTGAGCGCTGAGCGCAGAACGGTTGTCCCTTGATYGAACATCAGTGCTGGTCACTTAAACTAAAACCCAAGGCTTCACCAGGCACAATCTGTGATTTTAACCACTCACTCTGTGATTATGTATTTGGACATTCATGTTGTCTTTAATTTGCCTTTTAACACCACAAGCATTTCAGAGAAAGATTATCGATTGCACRTGGTAAATAACATCACATGCAGCCTATGCTGTAGAAAAAGAAAGATGTATGAAGTGT